ATATATATATAGTGGTGCTACATGTATTTGTACCAAACTGTCACAGTGCAGGTGTCTGGTATTAGTACATCAAACTAGAATATGAATAAATTAATTAAAGGTGATCACTGCACCCAACAGCCACTTTCTCTTCACTTTTGTAACTTCTCAGAAACTGTCACTAATTCACCATTATCTGTTTCTTCCTTCTCACCTGTCCTACTTTCCTGCTAATATTCCGGAGCATCAGCTGTGTAACACAAACCTGTCTCTGTGTTTTCTCTCTGCTCGCCTGCAGCCTTGTTTTTAACCTCTGTTTATGGTTTCTCCCTCTCTCTCTCTCTCTTTCTATGTTGGTTTGTTTTCTCCACCAGCAACGATGACAATGAGCAGCATCCTCAAAGCAGATGACATCAAGAAAGCTTTAGATGCATTTGCAGGTAAATAACTGGCTGAAGACATTATATCCTGACAGGTTAACCCCAAAAAAGAAAGAGGGTTGATGTTGTTTTTCCCCCATGACTGTGGAACTATTGTTGAGTTGTATTTGGATCCAGTACTTTGGGGAAAATTTATTATAAACTTTATGTTGAGTGCAGCGTCCCCTCCCCYCTTTTTTGAGTTTACAAGTACTTTGAAAAGTTCTTACACTGTGGCTTTTTCTGCTTTCATGACTGAAGCTGCTGACTCTTTTGACCACAAGAAGTTTTTCGASATGGTGGGTCTGAAGACCAAGTCCTTTGATGATGTGAAAAAGGTCTTTGCAGTGCTCGACGCTGACAACAGCGGCTTCATAGAGGAGGAGGAACTCAAGTGAGAAAAAAAAATAACACAGAGATAAGCACAAAAATTATTAATATTAAAAAAATTCTACAGCAATAAAAATGCATTTCATTATTGGCTTTACTCTGTTCCTTTTGACCAGATTTGTCCTGAAGGGTTTTGCCAGTCATGGCAGGGACCTGACAGACAAAGAAACCAAAGCGTTTTTAAAAGCAGCTGACAAGGACGGAGATGGAAAGATCGGAATCGACGGTAAACACGAGACTCCATTTCTTGAATTACCATGTTTAAAAACACATTTAACACATTAGAAGCACTGTTGCCAACTTAGCGACTTTGTCACTAGATCTAGCGACTTTTTAGACCCCTCTAGCGACTTTTTGTTTTTCCAAAAAGTGACTAGCGACAAATCTAGCGACTTTTCCCGGTGTTTTTAGAGACTATTAGGAGCTTTGGCGACAGCATTTTCCAAGCACGTTTTTCCTTTCCTTCTCCGCTCCTCCACAAGCAGCGAGCGGTGCAGTGAGCCCCTCCCTCTTCCTTAGCCATCAGAGTCACTGAAGCCTAGTGCAGCATCCCCCACCCCAACCCCCTCCCCCGGCTGAAGTCAGCTGAGAGGACACCGCTGCAAATGAATCACGCATGTGCAAAGCTGTCACTGCTTCTGTCTGGTTTACAAAGCGGGATATAATGTTTACTGTAATGTTTTTTCCCCTCTACTATCTCTAAACTAAATCTCTGGTCCCAGCTGCTTTTCACTCACAAATCAGTCACTACTTCACCTCGTCCTCCCTGTGCCTTGTGACATCTAACAGTCTGCAGATTAAAATTAAAATTCCCACAAATTTAATTTATGTGGATCCAAGCATTAAAGTCATAAAATTATTTTTATTTAATTAAGTTTAATTGCAGTTCTAAACATATTTAGTGTTTTTATTCATTTTTTTCTATTCATCATCTCTCTTATAGCTCAGAAAACAATTATTGGCAAACATCCAACTATGAAAATTAAATGATGACGTCATCTAGCGACTTCTAGCGACTTTTAGGACAGCCAATAGGGACTTCTCTTGCTCAGGAGTTGGCAACACTGATTAGAAGCTCTGTTGTCAGTCAGCTCATTCTTTGGCATTGACTTGCTGTGCTTCACCACTGCCATGTTATGAAATATTACAGCAATAACTCAGAACATTTGAAACAGGGTTCTGTAGAAATATCYTGAACAATTGATGTCTTATGGTGCGTTCACACCGAACGCGATTTCAGCATCAGGAGCCTCAGGTTTATATGCAAAGTCTATGGTGGACGCGCTTCAAGCAACGTTGGGAAGTTCTGCGGCGCCTCAAGCGCGATTAGAGCAGCGCGATTTGAACGATTTGAACGATCTGAGCGTTCGACGCGCTGAGGCGCAAATCGCTGAAGTTAGAAAATCTGAACTTTTGCAGCTCGACGCGCCGCATCAACCAATCAGAGAGACTCCACTGTGTGACGTAGCGACATATTTCCCGACGGGACAGTTTACTGAATGATGTCCACTAACCTGAAACAGATGGAGAGGAGCTCTTTAGCTGAAATCGAGTGCCTGCAGTCAGTGTCCTGACAGGAGATATCCGCACCAAGGCGTGGCAGCGGCTCATCAGACTGGACTCGAGACAAAAATAGTCCTTAAAGCGAGCTGTGAGCCTCTCCCGCAGCTCCTGGGTGATGAAACTCAGAATGTCTCTGAATTATCTGGTGAATTAATTATGAATTAATTATCTGATGAACGTGACATGCTCTTGCTCTCTGTAAATAAAGCAAAGCCACTTCCTCGTCCGACATTAAACAGAGCCCGACAGAGGAGGGAGGGGCGGGGAGGCTCTTCCCATGCAGCGCTTCAAGAGCTGTCCTGCGTCTGACCTCAAAAGTGCACAAGCGTCCAACTTCAGCGTTGGCTGCGATTTTGAAGCTGAAATCGCGTTCGGTGTGAACGCAGCATTATCATTGCAGCAGCTCTTCCAACAACCTCCGTTTGGAGTTTATTTCAGACTGGATTGAGGAGCTAACAGCTAGTCTAACAGCTAACAGCTAGTCTAACAGCTAACAGCTAGTCTAACAACTAACAGCTAGTCTAACAGCTAACAGCTAGTCAGAGCGTGGCTTGGAGCGTAAATGGATGGAACAGTTGATTTTCACAGCAGATAGATACAGATGAAAATTTCACGCAAACCTTTTCCAACCAATCACTGTCACCAGGTTCACAATTATAGTGTTTACAAATAATTCAGTGTTTCTTTGCCATATAAATTAGTAGCAGCAGAAACCAGCTGTATCACTTCTGAGGCAGTAGAAAGCCTCTCAAACAGTAAGCAGATCAACATAAACTACAGAATATGTCCAGTTGTTTTCCATTCTTCTCCCTTTTTTTCTCCTGATTTACTAATCGCGCTGTTCGGGGACCATGCTAACCCCAATTTCACACTGCGTCTGCTCCYCCACACGAACTCTGCAGTAAAAACAGACCCTTTATAATCAGTGAGAGCATTTACAATACATCCATAGGGTGGCGGTGTGCGCACAGCCATCCACCAGAATTTAACCAGACTCTGTTTTTGTCGAATACCTGATCAAGTGAAGAGTCGATCTACAAAGCTCACGTCACAACAAGAAAATAAGCGAGTAAAATATACATGTTTTCAAAACAATTCACCACAACACATTTTATCGAAATCCTAGCTACTGTAGATTAATAAATATATGTTCTGTCAAAATTGATCATTTACGATTGTGCACATAATACAAACAAAACATATGGATTTTATTCTGAAACCAAAAGTTTTAAAAAAGACAACCAGYGATGCAGTTTTAGCTGTTGTTTTGAGTCCGCCTTCCACAGAATGAGCTGTTTTAATCTGACCAGTATTTATCGCTGACTCGATCGTGTAATCTCGCATTTCCCAGGGATGATTCTTGGAGCACCTCTTGGCGTTGCTCCAGAGCAGAGCGGACGCAGTGTAAATGAGTTAAACTACTGTTTTAACGATTTCTAGTTTCTCACCTCCAATAAAATATCGGTCCACATTGTAGATGAACCCAGATAGAACTTTACTGCAGCACTTCACTGATTTATTCTGATTTAACTGAACATGTTTACCCCCCCCCCAAAATCCTGACACTTCTTTTCTTTTTTACTTTCTCCTCTCTTCCAGAATTTGCTGCCCTTGTGAAAGAATAAAGCAGCTACCTAAAGCCCACCTCCCACTCCATCACCATGAGACTCCCCCCGCCCCATTCTATCCACCTAAAGCCAAATCACTCCTCCCTTTAACCTCTCCTGCTGCTGTCCTCACAAAGCGCGATGCTGCTGCAGTGAAGCAGGCTGTGATCCGCACCCCCCTCCCCCCACCTCACACACATTCAGCAGTATTCACCCTCTATGTGATAGGTTTTTATACAAACTCTTCTTCCTYGTCCGCACAAACCAATATCAAACGCTGCAGCGGGAATAAACCTCACATTTTAAAGGATATTGAGATTTTGAAACAAATCATTTTATGCTTTGTTTTTGACCTCTTTCCTGTCCTCTCAGCCAGTTCTTCCTCTCACATTGCTGCTTTTTTTTTTYTTCTTCCTCCTTTTTGTTGATATCACCTCTGGCTTAGTTTCCTCCCTGCCCTCCCCWTCCCCCACATTCACCTTGTTCACTCATCTATTCACTGTCCATCTCTCTATCCTCTGACAAGGAGCTGTGGTGAAAGAAGAAGAAGAAGAAGCTGTGAAAGAATAAAATAAAATTTGAAAAAATGCCTTGATGAGTCTGAATCATCTGTTATGAATCTAATTTTTTCTTTGTTATAGAGTACACTTTGCGCTTTCTTGCTTCTTTGTTATCAATGAAATCAGAGATTGGAGGAAAGCAAATAAGAGCAAATAAGAGGCAAGAAGCAAGGACATCGTCACTGTCTGTTTATGAATGCACATTTTCACTAAGAGGAAGAGTAAAAAATAAGTCTTTACTCAGACATGTGATGCTGCTGAGCCATTACCAGAATTGGATTCACACCAAGGTTCGATTTAGGTTAAGTATCCCCAGCAGAGAGCTCAAACAGGCAACACAAAAGCCTTTTTAGTGGGACATTAACAGCCCGGGCAAATAAAAACGCAGATCTGTTGTGGTCACTTTATCAGCAGCAGAAAACATCGCTATTTATCCCTATATACTGTAAAAGTGAGTGTTTATCACTGGGAAGGTTGTAAAAGAGAGGGGACGATTTGTAAACAGATTTCAGCTCTGACAGTGATGAAAAGCCCTGTTTACATCATTTATTCCAATTTTAAACATGACATAAATGCAAACTTGAGCAACATGTTGATTTGTTAAAAAATGTAAATGAAGACAAAATCCTGCTTTTGACAAAACCTCAAAAACAGTGAGTCACACATCATTTTTAGACTTGAGTTTTGATGTACACAAGTTTAAATAAATTTCAACCAATGAAGATGGTATGAAATCATCATTTATTACATAACATTATTCATATTTCTGCCTGAAAAAAGTTTTTGTCTAATATCTTCTACCTGAAGTTACATTGCATTTCCCTACAGGCCGTTTTCCAAAGTATACTGGGTGAGTCAAAAGTCTCAGGACACCCTTCTATGTCAAAAAGAAAAAGGAAAATGAAATATGTGAATACACCAGTGAGTAATGGGTGAAGTGAAGTATCTTGTAGGCTATGCCCAGAACACAGCAGCCATCTTGAAAGCCGCCATACTGGAACAAGGGCAATTTTTCCAATGGGAAGGTGGTAATTTARCATGTCAAGGAAGAGCATAACTATCTCACAAATGTATTGTCAAAATTAGATTTGCAACATCTCTTGTGGTTCAAAAGTTACCAACACTGAAGTTTGCAACAACTGGGAATGTTGCCTGTGATGCACAGTTATTTGACATATTCATTGTGCTGTCCCTGGTGTTGAACACCATGACAAATAAAAGTTTTCAGTTTTCTGTATTGATAACTTCTGAACCACAAGAGATGTCACACATCTGATTGCAGAAATCCATTTCTGAGACAATTCTAGCCTTTCTAGCCTTTCCCACTGGAAAAAATGACTTTGATCCAATATGTTGGCTTTGAAGATGACAGCTATGTTCTGGACATAGCCTGAAAGATAGTTCCCTTAACCAATTCCTTGTTGGGGTATTCAGATATTTCTCCTTCCCATTCATTTCTGAAATAAAAGGGTGTCCAGAGTCCTTTTACTCACCCTGTATTTGCTGTATATTTATTGTTCAGCAACAGACTTAATCTCACATGAAGAACACATAGATATAACAGGTGTAGCAGGCCAAATTAACCCCTGCCCAGATTAAACAATTAGACCAAACTGGACTTTATCCATCTGTGTACCTATATGTTTTTGTGATCTAACATTTTGTTGTAGGAAATGGCCTAGGCCGGAGGCCTGGGGTATATTTTAGCATAGACCCCTTCAATCCCAGGTACAATCTGGACTGGAGTATACTGTGGCCTGTTACACCAAAAACAGATTCACCAAAAAAATAAAATAAAATAAAATAAATTCAGTTAAATCATTGACATGGCATCAATTCCTGAGCTACAAATGACACAATCTTTACAGGAAAGTACATTTTGGTGCATATTTAAAACATTTTCAGCTCTGTTGACCAACAAGTTGTTATTATTATTTACATGTTATAGAAAGGAATTATTTAAGCTTAAAGGTTTTATATTGCCATTAATACAACTGTCAAAAGACTTGTAAAAATGAATTTCCAGTGTCAGAAAAGAGTGAAAAAAAATCAATGACATTGAAAGATCCAACTTGAAGGAATAAGTGAAGATGTTTTGAAAAAGTGTTCTGAGGAAAGGGTCTAAGCAATAAAAATATCTTACCCGTTGTAAATAGGAAGTTCTTTTACCAATCTCAGTTTGGTGAAATAACGTTAAAATCTGAGCTGACTGACAAGTTAACAAGTTTAATTGGCTCGACACACGGGAGGTGACGCCACTCTCTCTCCATTCATTTTCTATGGAACTTGTGCATTGTGGCAGCAATCGCTCATCCTCTTCCAGCCAAGTGACCGGTGAAAATGTGAAATTTTGCTCTCGTACACGTAGATGTGCACATGCGAGCTTGCGACACGACATTTGAAATTCGAAAAATGTTCAATGTTTTGTCGCAGTCGCATGGCGCAACCAGACGGTCTCATTGACTGACCAGTGAGAGGAGAGTATGCTACAGACTGCAATTAGCTATCACTTTCAACATTATTTTAGCTCTGTCAAACGTTCCAGTTTGACACTCCACAAAGTGGAAATACATAAAAAGACAGATGTATAGGAATTTGTTGGTGCCAGGGTGAAGTTGTTCGGTAAGTTTTTCCTCATAAAATCCCATCTTGGCATGTGTGTGTTTTTCAATATTATTAGCATTGCAAGATTTGTTTAGTTTACATATCTGTAATGCACACCACTCCTTTTTTGTCTGCCAACCATCAATAAACGTTACAAGAACCAGTAGAAGAAGAACCAATCAAATTTCTTGAAGACAAGTGACCTGAGAGCGCGATTTGCAACGCTGCCGTTGCTATTGTGTCCCGTGTGTTGGGTTACACCCTGGTTGTTTGTTGCTCCCTGTGTGTTGAGCCTATTAACTGATATAAAGTTAGTATCTCACTGGGCTGTAATGGTTGGAGACTAATCACTGACTCAAAATTGTGAGTTTAGGCTTGCAAATTTGTACTCTTGGCTGCACACATTTTTGCTTTGTCCATCTATGATCACATCTTACTTTATTTACTTGCTTTATTTTTTTTTTCAGCATGATTTCAGACTTGGGAATTTGGAGCTGAATAATTGCATCAAGTTAATTTGACAGCAGTGTACAGCTTTACAAAACTGTGAGCACAGGAAACACTACAAAATGTTTGATATCAGAGTTGTTTTATTATGGCAGGAATCCACTTTGGTACTTTAATCCCTGCATCTGGTTATATTTAAAGGAGACATGTCATGCTTTTAAACCCTTTCTTTTCACATTTTAATCATTCATTTGAGGTCTATTTAAAGTGGAACTGCAATGCTTTGGTCTGAAATTTTTTATTGCAGCTCCATTGGTGCCTCTTTCACCCCTGTTCTGAGATGTGTCTTGCAGCAACTCGTTTTTGGGCTGTCTCTTTAAAAGCAAATGAGGTGCTTCAACCTCCACCCCCCACCCCCTAGCATTATCTAGTATCACAAAAAACTTTTTATTTTCAAATGAATAAAAAGATGTCAAGAACAGAAGACTTGTCCATCCAGCCTACTGTTGGAGCCATAGTCTGACCCAGAGCCAAAAGAGAATGAAGACAATAAAACTGCAGAACTGCAGATTCACAAAATTGTTAAACTGAAAGTCTGTGACCTTGTTCAGCAAATATTGGGCCTCATGCAAGAACATGTTCGCATTCTTATCCTAAATATTTCTTACTTTTGCAAGAGATTCAACAAATTCCTATCTTCAGGAAAAGTGCGTAAASTGATGAATGCGTATCAGGTGCTCGCACACAAGAAGAGGAGATTAACATAATTACCACTCCAAAAATACCATATAAGGCTATGTTTCCTGCCCCACATACCAGGAAGTGTCCATTCATGAATGACATCGCAAAGCAAAAAGAACTTTACGAGTTTGGAGATTGAAGTCCTGATCTCAGAGATCCAGAAAAGAAAATTTGTCATTTTTAGCAGTGTCAGCTGTGGAACTGAAGGAGCTGCTAAAGCTGAGGGATGAAATGATGACTGCTGCTGTGTCTCCCGTGAGACGTATACAGTCACAGAAATAAAAATCTAAATCATATTTATCTCTCTCTCTAGTCCTGCTCCGGTTTTCCATTGATCAAATATTTTAAATTTAAGTGTAAACAACTGTGTTTTCATTTATTCAGAAGAAGAGCAGATGTGCACCGCTACC